GGGGGGGGGGGGGGGGGGGGTCGGCAGCTCTGACTTGAGGAAGCAAAGCCCTGCCTGTACAAACAGAGTCAACTTCACACAAAGACAGAGCAAAACAAGGCACAGTAAGTCAGTAACAGCAAATGATAAGCTGTAGGGAGACCATAGGCAACAATGGTGAATAGTCCTTTGCCCCCTGCCATTATTTTTTTGTGCTCAGCTTCCACTGTTAAGGTCTTCTATCTTTGTACCAGATTCTAAAATACATACAGGTAATTCGAGTAAAGCGAAGAACAAAGCGAATATAAAAATTAACCTAGTCAGGAGCCATTCTGCAGAATAAACTAGCACCATAAAGTTTCGAGTAAGCTGAAAGACCACCTTATAATTAATCTAGTATTCAAAATGGCTTCCTCTTCTATGTGAAGAAGACAAAACAGGCCACAGATGGGATGATGCAAACACAACACTGCACAATCACAGCCATGCAAACAGGATGAGCAGACTGCAACATGCAGGAAGCCACATGAAAAGACCTCAGTTAAGAGCCAGGAGTGTGTTCTCACCGTTCTGAACAAAATGGCTGACCTAATCATCTCATTGGCTATGCCCAAATACCCTCCTCATCATCCTATAGGTTCAGAGATGATGACAGAGGAAGCATCAAGCGCAGCATTAAAGGGACAAAACAAACATTTGGTTAGTTACTGTGGGAGAAACACAGAAAATTGACATTAATTGCATTAAAACAACTTGTGTGCATAATCTACAACATGAGGGCCACTTGATTCTTCAATGTCCCACAAAGTGCATTCATAAAAGAAGCCGTCTTCCATCCAGGCCCTCTGGGTTCCTCTGGCGCAATGCATTCCTAGGCACGGCGCTCAATGTATGAGAAGGCACTGTGGGGACTGAGGAGGTGGAGAGCAAGTACACAGCCACCTAACCAGCTACACAGCCAGGCCACTAAAGCAGCTCACAAGCTCAGCCACTTAAGCAGTTCACAGCCATTTAAAAAGCTCTGAAGCCACCCATGTGAACAACTCACCACCCACCACCACCCCAAGCACAACTGCTCACCCACCCACCACAGAAACCAGACTCACTGTAGCTCCTAAAATTGCCTCTGTCCCTATCAGTCCTCATTTCTGTGCTACCTTTGCTCTGGTAATAAATACTTGAGTGAGCCATGGAAAGCCTAGCAATCTCACTTTCAGTGTCTTATTAGTATTATGCCCTTGATAATCCTGTTGATGGCTTTCGTTGCCCAATCCTGCTCTTCACCACAATGGATCTGCCCCAGTAAAGGCTAGTAGACCCTTGCAATTAGGGCATGGAAGACCCACACTAATATAGGCTATTAGTTCTTCACTCACAAGAACCCTACAACCACCCAATCAGGGACCCCACCACTTCCAACAATGGATCAGGATGACATCCTACCTGATCTGGGGAGGGCTTGTGGTTGGTTTGGTTGGACTGGGCAGAAGACTTCAAGTGGTCTGATTCATAGTTATCCGCCATCAATTTCATCCTGTTCTGCGTCTGTTGGGAAAAGACGGTTACAATTATACATTAGACAACTCCAGCAACCACCAGGGTGTGCAGCATAATATACAACCATCTTTACAATACCCTCCAAATAGAAAAATAATGTTACAAAAATGGGAAAGTGCCATCTTTTTACTTTTTTAAATTATCTGAAACTAAAAAAAAAATCAAGCCGGGTCATGAATACATATTGCTCTCCAACTGCTACACACACAAATTTCCAACTCTAGTAACTTCTTTTTCTTTCAGAAGTTACAAAGTTGTTCAATGCAGCAAACAAAAGTGCCAGAAAAACACTATATAGCCAAAAAGTTCGTGGACACCTGACCATGACATGTATATGAGCTTGAGGGATAACCCATTGCGAAACCATGGGCATTAATATAGATTCCCCCCACCTTTTTGGCTAGAAGAGCCTCCAGTCTTCTGGGCAGGGTTTTTACAAGATTCTGATGTTCATCTGTGGATACCTGTGTCCATTTAGCCAAAAGAACCAACTGATGTTTGGATGAGAAGACCTAACTCACAATCAGTTTTCTGACTGATCCCAAAGGTGTTCAGTAGTGTTAAGGTCATGGCTCCGGACAGGCAACTCAAGATCCTGGGCTTCAAACTGGTCAAACCAGGTCTTTATGGAGCTGGTTTTGCAGTTGTGATGGAATGAAAAAGGCCTTCACTGAACTGTTACTACAATCTTGGAAACACCGATTAGTCTAAAATGTCTTTGTATTCTGTATAGCACTACAGTACCCATCACTGGAAATACCTGAACTGCATAATTCAGAGGATGCCCACATACTTTTGACCATATTGTGTTTGCCTTCATATTTAGGTTGCCTGAATGCAGACAGTAGAATTTATGCAGCCTGTACCGCGGTCCTGCCTGCCGTTTGGACTAGGCATGGACACACAAGTCAAGCCCACCCAGAGCTCTTACTCCTGGAAGCCCACCTAATCAACTTCCCCTCCCGACTGTTTTCATCTGCTGTGTGGTAACTCAATAAAATTGTCCAGTTCAGGAAATTACATCAGCCCCGCGGAAACAAGAAAAACTTAATGACTTCTGAAAGAATACATAAATGAACTAAAAGGTGTTTTTACATATATGTGTCTTGAGTTCTTCTATAACATGCAGGTTACAGCAACATCGCAGCCGCCAACGCCCACGCAATAATGAGCAACAGGGTCGTCCAGCCACAACAAGTCCCGGAGTTTACAGCCGAGAACGTACGTGGGACATCAGACACGGGATGAGCACAGATGTGCCGGACAATCGTCCCCAGCTGGGCCGGGGGCTGCTGACGCAGCGCTGTCACTCTCCAGGGGGGACAAGAGTAAATATTACTTAATGTCCAAACTATTTCAACTTTAGCTCTCTCCAGTAATTTAGGGTCAGCTGTTTGTTTGCAAGGCTAACCATCCAAAACAGAAATTGACTTCTTATCCTCTTGAATGGGCTGGGCTGCTCCAGAGTTTCTGCATGCCAAGGACAGAGTGATCCTGGTAGCGGGACTGAAACAGCGAAATGGAAGAAAAGAATATGTGCCTGCTTTATGGTTAATACAGCGTTATAAAGCAGGACAGCGAGATGATGTGATTTGTGATTACCACCGAATACCTGTCTTGTTCTGGTATACATGAATAGACTTTTGAAGTACCCACTTAAAAATTGTTAAAACTTTATTTCCGCAGTCTAAATTTGCCTCAGGGCATTCTGGTTGTCCTTTTTATAAAAGACAAAGTCTAGCTTATATTATAAATAATATAAAAAATGGGAAAACATTTGCTTACTGTGATTTCATTGCATATTATGAGCGTCTCACAATGTGCATTGGAAGCTGCAGTAAATTAGATAGTGGCCACCTCATTTCTTGTCAGGAGGACATCTAGCACCAGGCTCAGCATCATGTGGGTGTTATCGCTTCTAGGCCTTTTGGCTGAGATCAAGTGTAGTATCTCTTATCAGTTTCCGGTGGAGAAATTAACCTTCCTGCCGGGGGGCATGGTTACTTAGTACTCGCTGGAGTGAAGGTTGGTGTTTGAGGCGGCTCCTTTTGAGAGGGGGGAGCTTCCTCGGCACCATTGCCTTCTGATGTGGACAGGTGCTTGCTTTGGTCTGGCCGGAGGGTTCGGGGGGTGCAGAGGCCCGTGGTGCTGTGCCCCCCTGGGGGGTGGCGTCCCAGGGGTGACAGAGAATCACGTGGGTATGGGACCCCACATTGATTCGCTGACACTAGGTCACTACACTTCTTGCTTTTTCTGCAGAACGCCTCTAGGGCAGGCCTTATGGGAAGCTCGGGGCAATATTTTCGCACTCTGGCCGAAAGACCTGCTAGGGTGGTGCACTGGCACTTTATTTTACGCACTTTATGCACGATTGAGCACTTTTTTGATTGATTTTGACTTCACAGAAGATGGAGGATGTGGGTACCTTCGGGGGGCTTTCCTGATGTCGGGGAGGAGATTCTGTGACCCTCATATGGGTTCCCCTGTCTCCTCCCATTTGGGGGGTTCCTCTTCGGGAGAGCCCCCAACCTAGTACTCAGTGGACTAGTTTCGGCAGGTCCATGAGGAAAGGGGTCTGCCGGCCTTCGGGTAGGTGGACCTAAATCGTTCTTGACCCTGTCAGGAGCCTTGCGCCCTGGGGGTGTCAGGAAATCGTGGCCCTTCATCTTTGGAGGAGGTCTAAAAGTACCCTCGTGCACTCTTTTTTTAGTGTGCTGTGATTTCACGGTTCACTTTATTTGTTCACAGGGGTGAAGTTGGTCCTCGAAGCACGCATCACGGACCTTAAAAAAATAAAAAAATCATGTGGGTGTTACCTAGGGTGGTCTGCATGCATTTGCAGTGTGTCTAGGAACACCCAATCCTCCAGACTGATCCACCCATCAAGGCATTCTGATATTTGCATAACTCCTCTCAAGAGCCAGCCAAATGCTTTTATCAGGATTGAGAACATTAAAGAGGAGCACTGAAGCCCTGCCAGCACCACCAGCCATGCTCTGCCTGCATTGCCTAAAGTAGTACAGAGACCTCGTGATGATGTTACCGGATCTAAAACAAGGTAGGTAACAAAAAGCAAAAGTTTTTATTTAAAAAAACATTGCTATTGCATACTAAAGCTGCTCTAAATCAACCTAAGGCAACAACACCTTTGTATGGCTGATGTTCCAGAGAGATCTGAACGATCAGTAAGTTATTACTGCCACATGGAACTGCTTGGGCCACCTGTCTACCAACATGCAGGAAAACAAACAGGAGAATTATGTTATGGAGAGTGGAAGAAAAAAACGAAAATCTGCGTGGCATGGCAAGTTTAACTTGTTCAGGACTGGATAAATATACTTATAAAATCCCTCTTTTTTTAACAATCCCTGCTCCTGTTTTAATTTTTTTACTAAATTCCCTTCTTGCATACTATTTTATTCTGGGGATATCTAACCAGTTACATGACCTCCTTGGGTCATCTTCCTCTTCTCCCAGTGGCGGTGGTGGGTGGGCTTCACCACAGCAGATAGCGTCTATGACATTATAACGCCCAAGACAAAGTAGTGACACACCAACAAGGGGTGTGCCTATGACTGTCTCACAGGAAATAGGTTAAATGATGCTGGCCGTCATTCAACCCAGCAGAGCAGAGTTTGTGCTGGGGATAGTACTGGAGATTAGGTGATTACTGCAGTGAGAGCTGCATTTTTTAAATGGTTGGGTAATTCCCTTTAAGAAATAAATCTGGAGATGTTTTAAAACCCTACACAGTACAGGAGATCAATCCTATTTACAATATTCATTTTTTGGCTACCCTACCCTTCGGAATCACCTCTGTCAACAAGATAACTGCACTCTACCATACAGATGGAAGGAAACTGTAAAAAATCTGTATACAAATAGTTTTATTTCAGGCATAGTGGTAAACGCGGTTTATTCCTAATTAGTGTCAGGGCATCTGGCTTGGACACTGGATCAATCCCAGCATGCAAAACAATACTGTGTCAACCATACTGAAGAAAAAGAAAGCGGCATAAGTGATGGCTTGTTTCCGTAGATGGCAAAACCTCCGCTTTCCTATGGGACTTGTTGCAGTCTAAACACTCAAACTGAAATGGAAGCAGAAAACAAAACGTCTGATATGCTGAAAGAGATGGGCGGGTGTAGAGTGCAAGAGTATCGTCAACTTCAGCTAAATGCACAGGAGAAAACATAAATCATACCTTCCAGTGCTGTTTTACTTGTCAATAGATTTGTAAAACAATATAGATCCTCTTATTCTACAGTCAGTCCTTCTAAAATAGAAATGTCAGTGTTTGGCGGATTCTGGAGAGGTAAACTCTCTGCCAGTTTCTTCTAGCTCTTGGGGATTCTATTGACGAGATTCTGTGCAGACCCAGGCAGAGTTCCCACGTCTGCTTGATTGCTGTGCCCATGGGCCTTGCACCATCCTGCTGCTACATTCCTGCCTCTGAACCTCTGCTTTGTCCATTATGAGGGGCTCCCCCTACACTGAGTTCCTGGGTATGCAAACTTGCTGTGGGCATTATGAGGAGTTACCACTATACCTAGGTTTGCCACCTGTCCCGGATGTACCTGGACTTTCCGGGTTTTGAGTCCTGTATGTGCTATGTCTGGGTTTCAGCTGGCCTGAAACACAGAAACAGCACATACAGGACTCAAAACCCGGACTGTCCAGGTGAAGATTTTTTAACATAAACCAATACTGTAATGTGTGCCTTACTGTAATCCATGGTGGTTTCCCTTCTCTTTGCTGCTCTTCCTTTTAAATCCGTATCTCTTCTCATGCTTGGGGAGAACTTCCCTTTGCAGTTTAGGGACTCTTCCTGTAGTGCTGGCTCAGGTTACAAACCTATACAAACCTATACACAGACACCATATATCCATTCCTGAGACAAGGCAGTCTGCTGCAAGACAGAAGTTCTGCCCAGCATGAGAACAGATACAGATTTAAAAGGAAGAGCAACAAAGAGAAGGGAAACAAC